CCCCAAGTCCTTCTCGGCAGGGCTGCTCTCAATCCCTTCATCCCCCAGCCTGGATTGATACCCGGGGTTGCCCCGACCCAGGTGCAGGACCCTGCACTTGGCCTTCTTAAGCCTCATGAGGTTCACACAGGCCCGCTTCTCCAGCTTGTCCAGGTCCCTCTGGATGGCATCCCATCCCTCAGGCGTGTCGACTGCACCACTCAGCTTGGTGTCATCTGCAAACTTGCTGAGGGTGCACTCAATCCCACCGTCTAGGTCATTGATGAAGATATTAAACAGTACCGGTCCCGATATGGACCCCTGTGGGACACTACTCGTCACTGATCTCCATCTGGACATTGAGCCATTGACCACTACTCTCTGGATGCAACCATCCAGGAAATCCAATAAATTTTGTATTACTGGCATTTATCACCTCCTGGACTTGCTCCTGAAGATGTTGGTATTTTCTAACTTTCTCAGCCACTGCATCAGCAAGTGATGATGGTTTACTCTCATATCTAACAGTTAAGTCCACCACAAAAGCCTGACCTTCCTTGACAAATATCAGGGCAGGTTTATAGAACTCATTTTGATGATCTTTTAGAAGTGGCTCCTGAAATATTACCCATTCTTTCCTTTTAGCTTCCTCTGCCAACAGTTCACATAGTTGGTTGTGTCTCTTTATTCTAGCATCTTGAACTGCAGGGCAATATCCAATAGTATGTGAGCAAGTCTCACTCTCTGCTTGACAATGCCGACAGTTCTTAATTTGAGTGTCCTGCCTACCCCTTGCCAAATACTCTTGTGGGGTAGGCATTAGCTCTTAATTGTAATGCAGTGATGAGCTTTCTGTGAGGAATGCCCCTATAATATTCAATCCAGTTATTACTAATTTTATCCTTTTCAAAGTTGGTAGTCCCATGGCCCTGGGACGGCAACTTGGTCCAATTCAAAAATTTCACCAGTCACAGGGTCTCGGAAAGATAACCTTTGGAGTGGACATCTCCCATTCCGAGACCGGTTCCTCACCACGCACAACTTCTGAGATCACCATGACTGCTCTGGGGTCCCAAATAGATGGCATTTTCTCTTTATCCCCACCTGCTGCAATCCATAGTTTTTCAAACTCTTTCTCTATACCTTCTTGCTGGACAACAGATCTTGCAGCGCTGTCCGATGACTGAGCAATTCAGTGCAGCCTATGGGTCTGCACACTAGGAATTAGTCCAGAGAGTCTGGTAATACCCAGCCCTCCATCCCGAGTGCTGGAATACAGGATGGCATCACAGGTGCACGCAGGTAGATGTAACCAATCCTTGACGGCTGCTCCAATTGCCAAATCAAGGGTCTGTAGGTACGTGGCTTTCACATGGGCTTGGTCTGCTAAGTAAATCAATCGTGGTATAGTATGTCCCTTCAAGATGCCCACTGTCTGAAACGGCTCCAATGGAGCCTGCCCAATCCGCCTTAACCATTTGTTCAGTTTTTCTAGCTTTTTCTGGCTTAGATATTCCAATCCATGGGTCTATACATATTCCCAGGTATTTTTCCGAACTACCAGGATCGATCATATTGAGGGGTGTGCCATTTATTGTCCATGCCGGACTGTCACTGATCATGTAAGAGTCCTTTGTAAGCTGGATGTAAAAGCCATGGCACTTACCCCTTGTGTTTTGAGGCCTGTCAGATCACAAAAGACCTCTAAAATGTCAATATTTTTCTGCATTCCATCCCAGGATTCATTTAATACGACCAAGTTGTCTGCAAAGACCACTAGGTCAATATATCCTAGCTACTAACTAAAAGGGGTAACCAGTCTGGAGCGACCCCACCAAGACTTGTGTTATTTTCTCTTTCCAGGAACAGTACTGGGAATAATACCGGAATGCCTCCCTTGGAGATCGGATTGGTCATCAGAGGAATATTCATCCTTCTCGCAGGAGTAATCATTGCCAATGTGGACCAGATCCAGTTTACACCTCAACAAGCCCAGCGCATGGGTTGGAGGCCCTCACTTCTTTTATTGGTGCTAATCAATACGGTAACTGTAGTACATTCTGCATCATACATGTTTGAAATTGATGGAAGTACAGGAATATTGGGAGAACCAGCAAAAAACCTAACAATGACAATCACTGGTAATCACACAACTGTAAAAGCAAATAAGAGTCACCTTATTTCTGCTACACCAGCTGACAGAATCTCTATTGAATGTAATGTGATAAATTATCCAAAGGCAAACACCTACATGATCGTCAGGAAGATAAATCAAACTCAATCAAAAGGCAGAGTAGGCTGTCCCTCACTCCCCAATTGTATAATTAGTTTCCTCTTTAGTGACACAACTATAGAAGCAGTGTGCCTGTGGACAGATAAAGGGAGAGGTAGCGAAAATGGACTATTCTTAAAGGTCATGCTAACATCTACTCCCAGACCTCACACTATACCAAAAACTACCCCTACTACCTGTCAACCTACTCCCTATTCTATTACTCCCACAATTGACCAAGCTACATATCCCCAAGTTTCTGCAATTGGACCCTACGCTATTAAATGTACAGGACAGCAACAAGTCCTATTTAACCTGTCATGATCCCTGAAGAGGGTAGAACTGTCCACGTGTACTAATCTGTATAAAAACACTTTGTGAAGACTTAATTGTTGATAGAAATTTTACCCATAAAGTGTCCAATCAATCAAATGTGTTTGTAACTTTGTAAACATTACTGGATGTGACTTTAACTGCAGAGCCCCAGTGACCTCATACACACTGTTAAAGGAAAACAACACACTATATCAAGACCTTTTGCCTTCCCCCATCGGAAGGAACTTGATGGTGTTTCACAAGCTACTGAAACATAGATTTACAGGCCTTATTACAAAAAGTACAACCACAAAGCAAAACCACGTTAATACCTGTACATCACGATGGAGAAGAAATACACCGTATACTAGGAAGAGTGAAGAAGGATGGGGAACACCACTGGTGGGAAACCCTTTTAGGATGGTCTTCAACGGCAACAGGTGTATTGAACGCCATGTTACATCCTGTAGTAATAAAGTTTGCCCTTCTGATAGTTTGTATTGTCTTTTTATATATTTGAGTCTGGGTTTTGGCCCAATCAGTATATCTCATTGTAAAACATAGAGAATGTCTTGGTACTGATTGTGTGGAACTATCTTATAATTAACCTTAATTAATTTTGTATTTATCGCTTAATCCTCCAGTAGACAACATGATGCTATTACCGCCTCATATTTATAGCACAGAGGCAAGAGGTGACCGTACCACTACTCTGTGAAGTAAATTGAATTGACTGTAGTCACAGGGTGGAGTGTGACGGATGCACCCACCCCGACCGAGTGAACAGCACTTTGGTTCAGGCATCACCGACAAGTGGGCCTGACTGGAGTCAGCCCTGCTCTGCGGACCTTGAGAAATTGTGCTAGGCCATATCTTCCCAGGAAGTTAAGGAAGTTAGGCTATGTCTTACAGGAGCTAATGGTGCCAGCCTGAGCTGGAACTAGACGAAACTAAAACTGCTACCGCTGCACACGCTCACCAAAGGGGAATGTGACTACAAGTCAGTCACTTCACGCTATAAATATCTCTAGCCCCCCTGAGCCCATTGAGCTCTCCTGAACGGCAGTGGGCTGCACAGCAGGGATCTCCCCTTGGGTTGGACACCTCTCAAGATTACTCCTCGAGGTCAAGAGATCCCTTACCTGGCATCTGCTATCTACAGCAAGGTAAGCGACATTTTATATTAGGTCTAAAGCATACTGTTTATCAGCTAGCTTAATTATTAGAAGTGCAGTAAGTAGTAGAGTGTTTGACTGCCATTTAATTATTGTTTAATTACCATTTAATAATAATAATTTAATAATTATCATTTAATCATCATTCAATCATTGTTTAATAAAACTTTTTGGTTAACCCCACAACAATGACCTCTCTTAATAAATCACCTGCGACAGCCCTACGTAAACAGTTATCAATTACACAGTAATCACAGGCTCACCTATATTGAAAAGTGTAATTATTACAGTGGATAGAAAGTCTCACCTGAGTGCTTGGAACAGGGTATGTCTGGTTCATTTCCACCAGAGACGTAAAGGTTTCTAGAAATAAATCACTAAGGCTTTGATGGATCACAACATTAGCTGCATTGCTGATGGGAGCATGGAGCTTTTCTCGGAGTTCCCCATACTCTGTGGAGTTCAACCTGAAGAAGAAAAGATGGAACAAAATGTTACCTTGATTATCTATTCAAATACCTTGATAGTACATTGCAGAGGTTAACATCAGAGAAGTGAATCCACAGAAAAGTAATTTAGGTTGGTACATACTAGTCAGAATAAGTACACAGTGAGCATTTTGTTTTCTTTTGCTGTTTAGTTGTTGGTTTTGACACAACTTAGACAACAGAACACGCTGTTCTCCTTCATATCTGTGTCAGATTGCCGACAGGATATGCCAGAGAGTAGCTAAAACATCATACAAAAATAAAGGAAGGCTTTTGAAGTAATCAGCATGAACAAAAGCAATGCAGGTACTTAAATTATGCATTAACGTTGAAGTACTGCAGGCACAATTTCTGTCCACCTTTTTAATGCCTATTTACTTACACCATATCTAAATTCTAGTTTATAAACTCCTGAGGACAGAAATTAGAGTTGTATCATGTGGCATGTATCACATGGTGATACAGTACATATAAGTATCAGAATATCAATCAGTATCAGTTTCTGTGATTTTATGATACAACTTTAGATAAAACCTGGAATTTCACAAAGGTTACAAACAGCTGCTGAATGTGACTTACACTTCCATTTAAGGCTGTAACAAGCTGCGTTTCACACTAGGTTGGTTGCTTCTGCTGAAGTAAGTCTCTCTTAAGTGAGGCCCACAGACCTCAAGTGGCACATGAGACCTTCTGTAGATCCTGTAGTGACACATCACCGTTGTCACCCGTTTTTAATGTAACAGTTCTGAACTGTAGATTCAGAACTCCCCAGCTCCATGTTTCCACTCATTAAACAGCTTTCATGGAGAAGCCCTGGGAACATCGCCCTGAAATTCCTCGTTCTTCCTACCACTCGCTGAGTTCCCGGAGCCCAGTACAATGCTACGCTTGCTTAGCTTTAGCTCCCGGTGGTCTCCATTGTTTTAACTATTATGGGATAATGTTCTTTGTTAACAGATACTATCTGTGCAAATAACAGACCTTTGTATCCAGAGGAAAAATTCACCTTGAATCCGCAGGGAAATGTGGCCTGCTTACACAAAAGCATTTTTCTCCCAGAAACATCCCACTGTATCCAATTCTGATTCTGGATATATACAATGATCCTATATCCTTAATGGGGGAATTTGGTCCTAGGGCACTTTTCGTAAATCCTGTATGACTGCATTCTAGCAGAGATTTGCTATTTCTGACACATCATATTACAAGAATTTTTAAACACTCTTCTCGGTGCTGTTCTGCTTAGCCACAAAATATAATTTTTGGGGTTCAGGTTTTTTTCCCCTAAAAGGAATTGCCAGAGAAGCCATGACTTTCTCAGCTGGGGATGTAGTTTTATCACTCTGGCACTGAAGCACTTACAGAAAAAAATCATTAGTTGTTTAATACTTACTTGGTCACCAGTCTCACAGGTCTACAAAGGTCTCCTCTTTTCTTAGGACTGACATGCTTACCTCAACCTCTCGTTCTGAGCTCTGTTCACCTGGATATCTGACACAATCACCTCTATGCCTTCCTCATACTTGCCAGGACGCCTCTGCTCACCTAGAAGTCCGGTGATCTGCCTACTTTTAATTACCTAGTAAATAAATGCTGCTGACATACAACTTTACAGCAAACAGACACCCACGTGCCTTTTCAAATATATAGTTGTACAAGCACCAGCATGGCTTTGTGTACTCCTTTTACTGACACAACAACAACAAAGACTTTAGCACTATTCTAATCGGTGTTACAGGTTTCTGCAAAGCTTGTACTTTTGCCTAGCTACACAGAGAGACTGCTGAAAAAAATAGCATGGGCCCTTGTAAAACAAGCCCTAACAGTTCACAGCACATTTGCTATGATTTACTGCTACGAGAACACATAAATCAGAAATGGACCAAAATGACTTCCTTGCTTTAAGGGCAGTTAGCCTGCAGTAGCTCAGTGAGAACTCTTCTGAGCAGCAACAAAATTATAAGCCTTGAGCAGAAGGAGGGGAAAAAAAAAAGTCATGGGTGAACAACACCCAGTTTTAGACAAATAACTATTTCTCCTCCCCCCAAATTTGGCAGACCAAAGATTCTCCCTTTCATTCCTGTCCTCCATCTTTCACCTAAGTTTTTCCAGTTACTTCTTTCTGCATCCAGCACAATCCTCTTCCTAAGAATGGATCAAATGGGGCAGTCCCTCTGTTTAACCCTTGTGCATTCAATACCGCAGCTGTATGAATCTTTCTAAACAACCTTTCTTCACTGCACTGTGTGGCAGAACTGTGCGTACAGCATCTCTGAACACCAGACACGGAGCAAAAGGGAAGGGACGAGACCCAAGGAGTCTTCAGATCTGCCACAAAAGCACTCCATTAGCACTGTCAAATAGCATATATATAACATAACAGGGTAGTTGTTTTACCGGATATCAAATGCCTTCACGTAGGGATTAATACTGGCAACACGGATGGTGAGGAACTGCACAGGCATATTTGAGTCTGGGGTGAGTTCATGCTGTCTGGAGTCTGTCACCGTCAAATGAATGTCCTGCTGCTGGGCAACGTGTAAACAGTAGGTGGTCACTTTAATCACCCATGTGTCCGTAACAATAACCCTCGCTCCTGGGGTGCCGGTAGCAAATTTGTCGATCCTCCTAAATTCTGTATTGATGGAAGAAGCTACTGCCCTCCAACCTGACTGCGGGAGAGCATGAACAGCGAGTGTTCGGGCTAACGGATGATTATTCCAACCTTTCCGTGACCAGTAATATGCCAGGGCACTGGTGACTGCTGGAAAGAGAACAGCAAAGAAGAAGAAAGTTTTCCATCCTCTCGAAGCCAAGTAGAAAAAACAAAGATGTTTTTCAGGCGCAGCAAAGCACATACCAAGGTAATAACCTACAAGGAAAAAGACTTACTTTCAGAAAACGAGTAAGTACATGCATAAACACATACCCCTGACTCACATAGTTATCTAACCAGTGAGCTCACCTCCAGGAGAGCTATTGTACTTCTGAACGGTAACTCAAATACAAGCCTCTTGTCCTAAGCAATCTGAGGTAAATTCTTACCTGTCACTGATTTCTACCAGAATTATGTAGCTAAATGAAGCTGATTTGAATTCGCTGGTTAAATAAAATGCTATTCCTTTGTAACTGCATCTACTCCGATGCAGCCAACTAGTTATAAAGTTTAGGGTGTACCTTACAAAGACGCTTGAGAGATACTAAAATACCGTATTTCCAAGATGTGTAGCGTAACCTGATTCACCCACACCTGCGTGCACCCGACATGCGGACACCGCTGAGGAACCCCCTTGCTCCCGCCCGGCCGGGGGCCACACCGGGCACAGCGGGCTCCCGAGTGCAGCAGGCTCACCCCGGCGGCGGGTTTGCCTTTCA